GAAAAGCTTAGTTTTCCTGAAAACTTGTATGCCACATCATACATTGTCAAATTAAAGGTTAAAAAGTGAAGAAGTTAAGTTTTTTTATAAATATTGATTTGCTTGTATATTTTTTTAATATAAGATCAGTATCGGCATTGGTAGAGCTATATTTTTTTCCGGTAATTAAAAAACAACCGTGCATCTAAAAAAATATTAAAACTGGAGTGTTGTAGTATTGAAAAATATTTCATATTTCTAGAAATGATGGATTTACTTTGCTTTTAATGAAAATACCATTTATTTTTATTTTTTTTTGTCTGCCTTTCTACAAATCCGCGTTAGTTCCTTGTAATTTCCGGAATGGCTCGACCGATTTTGATACTTCTTTTCGCTCTTTCTTAAACTTGTAAATACAAATAATTCAGTGAAATATAGGGCAGTGAATAAAATTGATTGTCGTCTACAAAATATGTTTTTATTCAGCCCGCAAAGGATGTAGACTTTTTAATCCGCTCTATCTTAAGTCTTATTAAGTTGTTATTAACGTATTCTACTATTGTTATCCATAAATAAAATTCTGACGAAAAATAATTACGTGTACATCATGTTACTTTCTTAAAATGTCCAGGATTGGCTAAGACAATTTGAATAGTAGAAATCGAAAACAAACGCTGTTACTACCCTTCTACCGTTTAAAGCGGTTCGCTTGTAAAATGTAATTTATAATGAATGTTTTCTTTGAAAACGAAATCAATTTGGAAACAATTTACAGTCTGTTATTTCTATTAAAACAATTTTGAATGAACAAATTGCGAGTGTCGTAGTTCAGTTGTTTTTAAGCGCGAGTTGTTACTGATGTAAAGAGTAAAACCTTTGTGCAGCGGACATGTTCTCTGGAACGTAACGCTTGTTTTCTTTTGATGTGTGAACTGAAAGGATGGAAGGGCGAAGGCTTTTATTTTTACTGCTAACGTATTTTACGGTAAACTCCACGTGCTTAAAAGCGTCATTATTTGGATTAAAGGAATCTTTTTGTTTTGTGCTAGTTTTAAATATATTTACTATTAAATTGACGAATTAATAAATTGTTCAACAAATGCTACGTTCCGTCAAGAGATAAAACGATGTCTGATTTATGCTTCTTATTTATTATGCTTCTTATTTATTATGCTTCAAATAAATCCAGACGTGATTCCGGAGATTCGAGTAGATTACAAACACTGATAGGGCACAGATTACACCACTCCATTTCACAAGATTCAGATCGAAGTAGATCACAATACATAATTCAAACGTCGACAAAATTTGTAACGAGGCCTTCGGTGTAAACTGATCGAGACCTGAATTATTAAGTGCCCGAAAGCTCGTTAGTCATTGTATTGTTGACCTTCCAAATTTCAAAGTTTTAACAATGGTCCACGCTTTAGGATATTTATTTAAAAGTATGATGTTTTTAATAGAAATAATTGGGTTCGTTATTCATACATGAATTGATAACGTGAGAAGTAAGGCTTGTTTCGATTCTTTAATCGACCTTATGATTGTCCTGTAGAAAAATACGCCTGAAACCGATTTCTTTGATGAAAATATCTATCTATGTAAGGAAATATGAAACAGTATTAAGAATTTTATTATAGGTGCCAGCATGTTTCAAATGTTAACAGTGGTAGAGTCAGCAACAATAATATTCGTCGGCTCGCCTGGTCCGGCTTGTAACCACGCAGAAGTCAGGCATGTGGTGGCAGCAACATTCACCTACGTTTCATCTGATGAGTGTGCGTGTCGAAAGTTTAATTTTATTTAACTTTTCCTTCCCCTTTTCTAATAAGGAAATGATGGGACGATTATACGTAGGCAACATAGTTGCTATCGCAAATGTCTAAAGGCAACGGTCGCTTTTTAGGCAAATTCAGGTGGCCATATATATTTGTCATCTTTGATTACATATTAATTTCTATTTCTATGGAACTAAAAACGACTGATAGAGTTATGAGAGCGTAATGTTGAACTCGTATAACAAGCTTGTAATTTTGTATGCAAAAGTCATAGTTATGTAGGTCAAAGAGCGACAATAGGTCGATGTGTTCGCTCTTGTAACATTGCATCGTGCGGTATTGTGGCTTCTGGACAGATTGAATTGGAGCCACTGCATGACGTTTGTGAGTACGGATATTAATTGCTATTTTAATTAGCGTTTTCCAAATTAACACAGAGTGAATTACGCAAATAGACATCGCGTTTAAACCTGTTTAAAGATATTTTGAAAACAGAATTGATTGTTTATGCATTCACAATTATCACTAAAACTAAAAGTCAGGATTTCAGAGATTATACGAACGAAAGAAAGTAACGCGAAGGCAGTATGTTAAATTAATAAAAAAATATAAAATATCGCTTTTACGTGAAATATCAAAATCTTACTGATAATATAAATGCGAATGTTTAGATGGATGGATGGATGGATGGATTTTTGTTTGAAGGTCAAAACGGCTGAACGGATCTCGATGAAATTTGGCACACAAATAGAAGAACACATAGGCTACTCATTAGGTTCTTTTTTAATTCCGCGCGGACGGAGTCACGGGCGACGGCTAGTTTAGTTAGCTAGTTTAAAATAGCATGAATTAAGATGAAGATACAAGTCTCTAAGATGCTCTTTACATTGTAAAGTAAATGCTACTACGAGCTACAGGTTTCTTGAATAAACTAAAACAACGTAAATGTCAAATGTTAAAAGTGTGGTTTGTTTGGTTTACAATAGTAAACCAAATGGGAGACTCATACAATGCTGTGTCGGGTGAATGGATTGCTTTGTTGGAATGCAATTGAATACCACAGTTGTTATCAAAATAGATAGTACGAAATAAAAGTGATTTGTAGAAAAGTTTTACCTAAAAATATTATTTCTAATGCACAATATTTTTTATGTCATAATGTGGCATACGATGTGATGTGGCATGAGCGGCCATCTGAAATATCTGAAATAGCGAAGTGACCGTTGCCCTTAGACATACGCAATTGCATTTGTGTTACCTACCGTTAATCGACGGAGGAGGGGATGCAAAGAAAAATAACATTTTCCCTTTCCATGCATCCTCTCATTCGGAAAATCTACTTCAACTTCCCATTCTTTCCTTATAAGATAAAAGGATGGGAAGGGAAAGAGGACAAAATTAGGCCTCCGGGAAGCACACTCATTACTCACAAAGAATTGCTTCCACTTCACGCCTGTCTGCTGTGTGGTCGTGGTATTACATCGAGCGAACCGGTCAATCCGTACGAAGATTGGAACCAAACAATATCTTAATAAATCTAGTAGATTTAAAATATCACGAATATTAAAACTGTAAAATATATGTAAAATTCGTTGCCACCATATTGCAAATTTATGCAACAAATAAGATTATGTCCGAAAGCAGGAATGGAAAGCAAGTGTTCGCTTCAACGTTAGAATAATCCCGACGACTTGCGGTCTAGGGGGGACTGTGTAAATTGCATTGTGGAATCGAGTTTCGGGTCGACAGTAGAAGCACTGAACCTCGATACAGGACTAACAATATTAATTGGGATTCAGTGCACTGGATGGCGCTGATCGATTTGAATGTGTCGTATGTATGAATCGAACAAGACTGATAGAACTGGAAGGGTCGACTGAACGATCAAATCTTTATTGCATATTCTTTTTAGTTTTTTCTAAGCTTTTCTTTGTCAAATTTGCTCTTGGATTTTTTGCAGTATCTTTACCTTTATAGTGTCCCTGAATTGTTTCATTTTAAGATTAAATATTTTAACAAAGTATTTTTAACAACGTAATTATAATATTTTCGTGCCTCTATTACGTTATGGAAATGTAACTTTTAAATGTTTACTTTTGATTTATGAAATCAAAAAAGTAAGATATTTTTTTTGTCTTATTTAGTAACTAAATATTATTAATTATATATTTCTAGTTGTGTTTCGTATATCATTAAATACTTATACTTTTTTACGGAACAAATTTTTTAGTGAAAAGTCAAAGGTTGATTCATCTTTCTACTCTCCTAGGGGAATGAGGCTTTTCAGCGAACACTCTCAGCGCCTCTCGAAAATGGGCCAACAGCCTTCGTGTGTAAAGTGGTCACCGTTTTAAATAGAATGTATGTAAAATATACCGCTTGTAAGTTTAAAAGATGATTTATTTTTTAATTTGAACTTAAAAACAAAAAAAAGATAATTTTAGTAATTACTAATACTTATAACATCTATGTATGAGTTTAACTAAGCGTCTTAATTTCTGAATATATAATTGGATACATGTATTTCTTTTCCATTGTCATAAATGTATATTAAAGCGTGATTTTAAATATCAAGTTAACCAGAACAAACGTGGCCTTGCGAACAGACAGACTGACAGACAAAAATTTTAAAAATTGGTTTTTCATTATCAGCTACGCAAATACATCGCAGGTTCGAAACATTTTATATTCTATTTTAGATACAGACACTCCAATTTTATTAAAATTATGTAGATTTATTTGAAAAAGTGAATACGATGTATGAAATATTTCATTTTTCCTCTGTTAAGTTCCAGACCTTTCTAACCTCATTGTTAGTTTCATTACTTTTATCTGACCTGTCATAAAATAACACTTCTCCACATTTAATTACAGCTAATAACTTTGATAATGAGTACATAACTAATACTCGACGAGTTATAGACGTCGTGAATTGTGGTTAGATTTCGCGACGGCGTAAATCGTATTGGACAGCGGTTTTGTGGTCGAATTTCAATTACGTTTTAGAGATAGGACGTGACAGAGAGACAACCACTTTCGTGGCGTTGAATGGAACTACAAGACATCTCTGCCATAAATATATTAAGAGGGATCTTCCAAAAATAGATTTTCGAATCTAATTTTGGCAAATCCTTTTTACCAAACAACTTAATAATTACTCAAAAACAATTTGCAACATTACATTAAACATATGGTAAATAATATTTCATTCTATATGAGTTTTATAACACAACATAGACTTACCTGTTTTGACCAGTTTGAAGGTGACTTGCTGTTGATTCTTCAGCTGGTCGTTGTGCGCGGGATGCGTCAGCTCGCGCAGCACCATCTCCACCGGCGGCTGCTGCATGCTGACACACTTAGGAGGCGTCGCCTCCTTTGATGAATTGAATTTTCTAAAGAAACTCCTCTTCTTCGGCTTGGAATTTGATCCTGTTAAGAGATGAAACAATGTATTAAAAAGCATTAAATTCTTTATACGCTGTTTAATTATCATATATGTATATATATCATAAGAAACGCCAATCGGTTAGGTAAATCGCTGTGTTATGAGTTATTGTTTGCATTCAAGCTTGTTAGAGTCAATCAAAACCTCATGCATCATGTACAGAATTGACACGCATTATTATATCACGAGGCACTCAAATCCACACTTTTTCTTAAAAACCTTCAAGAGACGATCGATGTGTCGGCGTCGAGGGTGTGGATGTTCTAGCGGAGGGCGCGGGGGAGGGGTTGGAGGCCACAGGTTCGGAGTAAGGGCGCGGCGGAAGTAAGCTAAGGGATGATGTCGAGGGCGAGGGAAACTGGGTCCCCGACGCATCCGAGCGCCGATCTGGTTCGGGAGTCGTGACACGAATATTCGCGGTGAATTGAGGCGTGTTCGCTACCTCGAACAGTGCATCAAAGTTTCTGTCGAAAATGTTCTTCCGCGAGAAGGCCGGAGTCGGCAGGGGGGCGGGCAGTTCGAACTCATCCGGCGCGGGGGTCCTAACGATTTTGCCGAATTCGCTATCATCGTGGCGCCCGAGCTTCTTGAGCAGTTTCGCTTTGGTGCGCTCGCGCAGTTTGGCCGGCCGCTCGAGCGACGGCGTCGGCGAGGCCGGCGCGCGCTCCGCGGGCTCCGGGGGCGCCGTTTTGGGGAAGGAGACGGCGCGGGGCGGGGCGGGGGTCGGGGTGCGGGGGCGCGGCGGGGACGGCTGGGGCGGAGGCTCGAACAGTACGTCGAGCGTCGGCCGCTGCCGGGTGCGGGGCAGCGAGTACGAGCTGTACGTCAGGGAAACTACTTCTTCTGCGGGATATATTACGTACATCCCTGGCGAGACCGCATCGCGCCGGCCCCTCGCGCCCTCCGAAGAGGTTTACGCGCGTTCACTTATTTCACTACCACCGACCTAATTCGTTATCGTTTTATTTGATGTTATTCGTCAATTCGTTGTTGAATTCTGTGGAATGTAAAGTTTTATTTTATTTACGTGGACCTAGGGTAAGGAATGTTTTATGGGAGATTTTGAGCTGAGGGAGGTAGGAAAGTGTATTCTTCATGTAACAACAGTCGACTGGACTCGTCCATATAACGCATCTTCAACCTAGATGAGCAAAAAAATAAACATTAATCTGTGCAATTAATAATTGAATTGTTTTACTATTTTATTAATTTGTTTGAAGATTAATATCAAATTTAAAAAAAATATATTTATGAAAAGGTCTTACAGAAATAGATTCAGTCTTATAAATAAATATTTTTTAGAGTATAACAAAAGTTTAGTTGGGTTTAGATAAACGGGTCAAGTGCTACCACAATAGCTCCAGCAAATCCTGTTTTGTAGTATCACTCAAAATTTACACAATGTAACTTTACGACACTGTCAGTAGACGAGGCGTGTCATGGTTATTGTTGAGCTGGATCTTATTTTATCTATGGTTATTTTACCGTTTTTCAAGTGCCTTTTTCAGACTTACTTTACAGTTATTCGATTAACCGTGGGTTTCTGACACCAAAATCTCTGTATAAAATATTGTCTTGTTATTACCCTTGACAACACAGTGGTAGCAAATTGTTTTAAAGGGTTTATTTGACTCAGAAACCTACGAGTATAAAGATTTAGAACAACTGAAGCCCAAAATAATGGGCATATTATGATGAAAATAAGTGAAATTTACAGTGAACGACATAACATTTACATGTTCATCTGATATTTCATACCCAATTAGTCTAATGTAACTTAAGAAAATAACATATGCTGTATTAAGATTACTTAGTTAAATATTTGTGTCGACACAACTTTTCTTTTTATTCGTACTCAAGTCAAATAAATATAAACTAATTTAAATATGTTAAAAGCGACATTTTTTTATCTTATTCCGTAAATTATGAATGTAATGAGGTAGAGATGGCTCTCAGAGAGTTGTATTATGTGAATGAACTCGACCTATTTTCACTCAACTTCGAACTTTGCCCAGAATCACAACATATTTTGAATACAACTTCTTATTAAATACTCTTCATGTATGTTTCGTTACATGTATGGAAGTTTATAAGGCACAATGGAATCAACCAATATAAGCCCAAAGATGTGAATTGCTAGATATAGTTACCAATAAAAACTTATTCTCCAGTTACTCTACGACTAAACATTAATTTTTATTTTTAAGAAAATTTCACTAATTCGTATTTTAGCTAAAATTAAATTGTTCTAACAGTCACGGAAATATGGAAAGCACACTAGAATGTATGCATTTGAGTCACGCATAAGTAACTTAGTTAGTTGAGAATAACCTTAAGTTCTACCTAACATCATGTACAAAAAATTGTTAAAATAGGACATTAATTGACTACTGAAATACCATAGATTTGTGTACTCATACCGATGAAAATATTATATAAAATCTAGAATGTAGAGAAAAATAATCTCTACAAAATTCTTAATGTATACATATTCTTTTATGTTGTTGTAATTACGTATATATGTATTTTAAGGTAGTACTCGTGACTCGTATCCAAGTAGTATTAGCGATAGCTGATATCACGTAGGAACCTGTAGCTATTCAATTTATTTCTTTGTTGGATGTGAAGGCTTGTGCGGAGTTCTTTTCATCGTAGTCTCATTACAGGACTAGTGGCTGCCACACAGTTAATATGGTTTCTACCCTTTATTACTTACGTATATTAATTCAACGTTATATATCAAAAATACGTAAATAGATCTTACGTCTTACAGATATTATAAATGCGAGTGTCTATACGGATGGACGGATGTTTGTTTGAAGTTATCGCTAGAACGGCTGAACAGATCGCGATGAAATTTGGCAGACATATAAAACATAGAACACATAGGCTACTAATTATTTTTTTTTATTACGCGCGGACAGAGTCGCGGGTGACATTTAATAGTTCATATAATTATCAAAAAAAGAGAAACTTACTTTTTTATAATTAAATAAGGGCTTAAATAAGATAAAATAAGAACTTATAAAGTTCTATCCTTACGAGAATTTACTTTTTTAGATCACTTATCCACAGATTCGTCTCAGAACAGAAATATCAAAAGATATTTTTGTTCTCTCTGAATGCTTTAGCGAACATGATCACAGGAAACTGATATCGGGAAGAGGTATTTTAAAGCAATTAATTATTATTTATCTTCTGGTCTCATTAAATTATTTCCACTTTAACGTAGAGTGCAAAGATGGGAGGCACTTTCAGTATAAAATTAACCTAGATAACCTCTGGATATTACTCCAGCTAGAACGTGACACGAGCACACTTCCGTTGGTAGAGGGAATAAGATTATTTTTATGAGTTTACAGTAACCTGGATATGGCCAAGACACTCTTTGATCTTGAGATGTACTTATTCCCGGTATTAGATTTTTTTTTTACATTAATGACAATATATTCCTAATCATTTATTTAATGTTTGTTGATGTTTTAATCTTACTAATATTATAAATGCGAAACATTGGATGGATGTATGGATATTTGTTAGATTTTATCTCCAGAACGGCTAAATACATCTAGGTGATATTTGGCATAGATGTTGAACATAGTCTGAAAGAACACATAGGCTGCTAAGTATTTTTTTAGGGTTCCGTACCTCATAGGAAAAAACGGAACCCTTACAGGATCACTTAGTTTATAATGCTAGAATTTCATATTATAGAATTAACATCATAATAGCCATTGTTATCTATACATATTGTAAGCATTTAGTTTTCAGCGTTTAATTTTATATTCTTGTAAAACGGAGTGGATTATTGGATGCTTGTAATAAATCAAAATTGTACCATTATCACATATATCTCGCAGGCTTTTCGAGATCGTAATTCTATGAGAATATATGAAATTTATTTTATTCATAATTCAGTAGGCATCGTAAAATAGTATGTGGAAAATTCAATCACATTGTATATATATGAAGCACAAGTATACTTAAATAAATTTTATCAAATACGTGCTTATTTTCATCTTTTCTCGTCGCTTTTACCAGAAAAATACATTATTAAGTTTGAAAGGAACGTGTATAATCACAATTTTAAATTCTATATCGTTATATTTAGACGATCTACATCTAAAGTGCGAGTGCAGCGATTTGGGGTCGATTTTTTTATTTTATTTAGGTTTATTTCTAGTTTGATAAGTTTTAGTATTTAGTTTATTTAATAAAATATAAATTAACTCATCTGTTTTGTAGTAGTTAGTTATTGTAAAATAGTCTACCTAAGTTAACTTAATAAATATACAACGTATAGTAAACATCAAAAAACTTATTTTTTAATGTGTACTGGACTGGTTAAGGAAAGTTTCCACTTCCACAAAAAGATTCTATAGCCTCTTACTATAAACATGTTTAAATGCCTATTTCAATGAATTATGAAGTCAAATATTACTTCTATAAATACTCGTATATAATTGACTAGTTATCGCCCGCGAATCCGTTCGCGTGTGATTAAAAATAAACTAAAACAGTAGCCTATGTGTTCTTTCAGGCTATGTTTTACACGTGTGCCAAATTTCAGCGAGATCAATACAGCAGTTCAGGAGATACCTTCAAATAAACATCCATCCATCTAAACATTTGCATTTGTAATATTAGTAAGAAGTAAGATATAATTATAGCTAAATTAAATGACTCATTGCATTTCTCTCTTATTAAGCCGCTTAATGTAGCTTTCCAATACAAAATTTGTACTAAAGGCTTCCATAGTGACATTTTCTTTTGTCTAAATGTATTTAATAATTAAAAATGAATATTTATTAAAGTAAAAGATATAAATTCATTCGAGTTTCTCCCATAATTCTTTTTGACAGAGCTATTTTGTTTTGTGCTTTCTAATGACTCTCAAGAGATGTTCTACAACAATGCTTTTTAAAATTAAAGGTTTTAAATAAGAATACTTACGAATTATTACGTCTCCAGTGAACAAATAACTAATGTTTACCTAAAATACTATATATTAATTAAGTATATTAATATATAGGTGTAAAATAGTTAAAATATCTTTGATAATTAATTGCATTTAATTAATGTTTAATTATATTTTGTAATATTTTTTTCCTTCTAAAATTAAATAGCATATATTTAATTTAAACATTTTATTATTTTAAAATGAAAGTGAAGAAAATACATGTTGCGGTTGTATAAAATTGACCTAAATGTGTACGAAGTAATGCATGTTTATTCTGCATTAGAGGAAACAAGCCTTTGAGTATTTCATTTCCCGTGGAAAACAATTTCCGATATGGTAGAAAGCTCTATTGCAGGCGTACTCGCGTATCTCTGATACAATGTAATTTTAAAATAATGGAAAATAATAAGCGATATGGTTTTATGCTTTTAAAGTGTATGCATCTGACATGAATGCTAAGTTACTTAACTTATTGTTAAAATATATTCGATTTTAATAAAAGACTGGAACATTTTTATTAAAAAGTAGTTGTTTAAAATATTATCCGACATTTTTGCGATGAAGGAAAACATCATAATACACCATGAACATATCTGCGAAGGAATTCAAAGGTATGTGTGAAGTCATCCAACCCGCACTGGGCCAGCGTGGTTGACTATGGCCTAGTCAAACTTAACTTAGGGTAGACTCCGAGCCAGTCGTCCCCACTCGTTCAGTGAGCTGATGATGGTGATATAGTGTAATTTTATTTTATGTAAGAAATCTTCAAAAGCCTTATCATAAATTCTTCCTCTTGAAATTTATGTTTAGTTAAAACATATTAAATTCTTAATTCTAGTCCTATACTTCGTGTAACATCAAAGCTTTTAGTATTTTAATCAATTACAAAATCTTAATAAACGACGTATTAACTCCTACGTTTCGTTAACATTATTCGTATGTTAAAATATTACTTATATTATAAATTAAAGCCCACGATTAATTAGATAATAATCTTAAATATCTGAAAAGGTTAAGAGATTATAAAGTCGCTACAAAAGATTTTATTGAAAAATTTATAAAAATGTTAAGAGAACAGCTCAAACAATTGCATTGTCTTTTTTATTTAACCATATGAAAAATATATACCGTAAACTTGAATATGAACAAATTAGTAATTGTTTTTAACTGTTAATGAGAAA